TTGAAGGAGCAAAGAATGGTGTAAAGATACCACTCCAACATATTTATTTCCTTTCCTTGGTTATCTATCTGGTGATGGAACTGCTGAATCATGTTTTGTTTTTTTTTTTTTATAGGAATAGCTATTGTGTTTTTTATAATGGCTATACTACTTCCTCAAACAGTAGTATATTAGTGCTTCCTGTCAGTAGAAAAGAGTTTTGCCTATTTTGGTCACTGCTTAACACCTTTATCATCTGGGTGAGTGTCTGACAAGTAGTAAGTGTTCAACAAATACTTGAATGAATAAACACTTTTACTTTAGGGTTTTTTTTTTCTGAGATTTTATTGGTACAATATAGATACATGAATAGATAGATCATATTTATCATAGAGAATTTGTTCCTGTACATGATATAATTTCTTTCTCTTTTTGTTGTTTTCTCCCATTCTCCTACCCTTTTTCTCCCTCCCCTATCCCTCCTTCCTACCTAGTTTTTCTTTTAAGGCTGAGAAAATAACAAAACACATAAATCAGCAAGAATTAGATCCAGATAGTACAACAGATATGGAAGTTGTCACAGATACTGAAGAAGAACTTATGAGAGAATGTGAAGAGATGTGGAAAGACATGGAAGAAGTAAGTGCCAAGAGATAAAAGTGATATATCTGTTAGTTGATATATAAGATTTAAATCAATTTTAATAATAGACAAGTTAAATACTTAAGCTATTTGCCAAAATCTGTTACTTTATGGAATTAAAATATATGTGCTTTTTAGAGCTGAAACTTTATATTAGATAACTTATAGAAATAGAAAATTATGCCATATCTTACTCTCAAGAAGATAAGCATCTTATGAAAGTAATAGCTATACATAATATTACATGTCAAGTAGTACTATAAGTATTATGCACAAACTACACTTAGCAATATTTAACCTAGACTCACAAAGTCAAATACCTTTGTGTAAGAAAGGAAAGAAAGGCATGATTACTGATTTTATTTTTAAATAATAAGTTAGCTTGTGTAAATAGTTTAGTCAGATGTGGTGGTACATGCTTGTAATACCAATTACCTGGAAGGCTAAAGTAGTAGAATTGAAATTTCAAAGGCAGTCTGGCCAACTTAGAAAGATCCTGCTTCAAAATAAAAATAAAAAGGGATAGAGATTCACTCCCTACCCACCCTAACCCCCAAAAAAGAAACTAAGAGAGGAGTTATACAAAGCTGGAAGGTCATACTCTATATATAAAGTTTGGAGAGTTTAGAGCATTCAATGAAGAATGTTATGGGTAATATAAATTAGGAACAAAAAGACTTGTGAATGAGACTGCAGTAAGACCATGAAGGATTTTGGTGGATATGTATTGTGGGAAGCTCTCAAAGGATTTTAAGCATAGAAAATGACCTGATCATGTGCAGATCAGAAAAATTAACTCTTGTGGGTTTGAAGAGAATATAATGTAGTAAGACTGTAAGTATAAATGTTAGAAGATTCTAGCGGTAGTCCTGCTTAGCAACAGTGGAGGCCTAAGTACTGTTACTGCAAGTAGAAGACTGAGTTGAAGAGACACTAAGGAAGTAAGACAAAAAGAATATAGAAGTTCATTAATGTAAAAAGGAGTGATGACAGTGAATAGTTTTAGGCTCCTGGTTTAGGCCTGTTTGGGTGATTGTAGGGTTTATTCCCTAAAATAGAGTACAGAGAAGTGGGACAATTATATAATCGTGAACATAAACACAATGAATTTGAAATGTGTGTGCATTTTCTGTTTTAGTGAGCTGGAACCACTTTTGGTATACAACCGTATTTTGGTAAAAATTGGTTTTACCCCAGATAATATGCTGTATGATACGGACCATAGAAATTTTCAGCATCTTTTTCTGTCTAGAGAAGTTTCAGAGCAAAACTGATTAGTGAAGTCTTCTTTTAATCTTTTTATTTTTTTGGTGGAACTGGGGGTTGAACTGAGAGCCTTGCACTTACCAAGGAAGCACTTATTCTACTGAGCCATCTCCCCGGCCCCTGAATCATTTTTAATATAAATCCTTGATTTTCTATATTATTAATATGTTTAGTACATGATTATATAATCTTGTGCTGTTTGTTGGTATAAAGATTGGGTTCAAAAATTACTAAAAAATTTCCTAGAGAAAAATATTATAATAAGCGTAAAGTACCAATAAAATTTAACATACTCCTATTTTTGCCTCTCATGTATAATCAGTAATAGCTTTTGAGTTTTTTTATGGCACAAAACAATATTGGGGTTATTTTCTTACAATTTTAACTAATTTCTTACCTGTTTTATTTTTCTGTATTGTGTTTTTCAAGATTCTCTTACGTGCCATTTTTTTCTGTTATGTAGCTTTTAATTCACCCTAGCTGTTTTTGCTCTTCTTTTATTCCAGTTTCTCTCTTTTGATATATTCACTTTGGGACTATTGGGCTGCCTTCCTGTTTCTCCTGCCTAAAATGAGGCTTTAAACAAACATATATCAGATATTTATATGTTGTTTTGACTAGTATTACATTGGACTGGTACAAAAGGGGATGGGGAGAAAATTATCTATGGGTAATGATGTCTGACTTGTGTTTCTTTTCCTTTTAAACCAAGTGTCAGAATAAACTATCACTTATTGGAACTGAGACTCTCAGTAATTCAAATGCTCAGGTATGAATATTTTTTTCTTACTAAAAATAGATAAATTCATTGTATTTTGGGAAAGAAGTATTTATATTTATTTCAAATACAATAGCTTTGTTAATACCTGTATTGTCAATGATTTTGAAAACTTGTGTTCTTTCTGATTTAAAACTTGGAAGAAGCATTCCACAAACTTTTTCCAGCAAGTGTGGTACTTGCTTGAAATCCCAGTTATTTAAGAGGCTGAGGCACGAGGATCAAGAGTTCTAAGCCAGCCTGGAAAGAATAGCGAGAGATTATCTCAAGAATGAAAATGAATGAATGAATGATTAGAACAAGCTACAACACATAATAAAGCATTTTCTTTAGCTTTATCTTTTGACAGCCATAAATTCACTCAATAACTGAGCAAATTGTTTGTTGGTTGTAATTATACTTGTTAAAAGATAGTGTAATAAAACAATGAGTTCTATTTTATATTAGATATAATAACCATGGATATTTTACTGTCTGTATGGAACCCTAGTTGATTTTATTACAACTTTAAAAACATTTAAAGATAACTTACTCCATTATAATAATCAAAATAACAAATTTATTTACAAATATGTGAGTGTATTAGATTTAGAATTTAAAATATGACAAAGATAGTTGAATTTTCTTTTTCTTTTTTTTTTTTTTTTTGCGGAACCAGGTATTGAACTCTGGCACTCGTGCTTGCCAGGCAACCACTTATTCCACTGAGCCATCTCCCCGGCCCCGATAGTTGAAATTCTTGAGAAAATGATTAATAGTAGTTATACAAATGGGTACCTATGTGGAACAAAATAAAAGTGAACCTGTATTTTTTTATTGTATACAACAAAACCCCCTAAATGATTACCTAAATTATTGTATAGGAAAAGCAGAGTGAATATTTGCACAAGCTAGGGATAAGAGAACATTTGTTTGCTAATAATATACATTAGATAGTATTTAAAAAGTTACTTTTGGATTAGCCAGATACCTCAGCGGATTAAAGCGCCTGCTTAGGCAGACACAGGGACCAGGGTTCGATACCCCTCCCCCAAGCGTGCTGTGACAGCCACTGAGACTGGGTGTGGTAGTGCGTGCCTATTATCCCACTGCTGGGAAGGCTGAAAACAGGAGAATCACTAGGAGCTCAATCTGTAGTGAGACTGGGTAGACCCTGTACTAAATACATTAAAAAAAAAAAAAAAATAGAAAAAATCACTTTTTTCTCCCTGCTGAGACAAAATACCCAACACCCAAAGTTAGAGAAAGCATATTTTGTTCATAAATTTTAGAGGTTTTAATCTATAATTTGTTGGCTCCAAGGCAAAGGGACATTCTAGAGGGGAACAGTTCTTGCTGCCCACAAGGTAGACAAAAGAACAAGGGAGAGTTGAGACAAGCCTCTCTGTCCCTTACATCGTATCTAGTCTACTGGGATTACAGGCATAGCACATCATGTCCACCTTGTTATTGTTTAATTTTGTTTAATTATTGTTTAATTTTTTATTTTTTTTCCTGGCTTCTGTGGTTTCTTTAGTAAAAACTTTCACCTAATTTTTTTCATTGGTACATGTTCACTTCTCTCACTGTTCCCCCTCCTTTCATTTCTTCATTCCCTTAATTTTTAGGAAGTTCAAAACTGATTTGGATATTCGTGTTGGCAAGTTAAGATTTGTGCTTCATTGATAAGAGTACGAGGTTAAGCTATGAAATTAGTCTTTTTTTTTTTTTTTTTTTTTTTTTAACAGAACCAGGGATTGAACTCAGGCCCTTGTGCTTGCCAGGCAACACTTATTCTACTGAGCTATCTCCCCTCTTTTATCTTTTTTTTTTTTTTGGAACTGGGGATTGAACTCAGGCCCTTGCGCTTGCCAGGGAAGCACTTATTCCACTGAGCCATCTCCCCAGCGAAATTACTCTTTTAATGGGTTAAAAATTTCACATGGGGGGTGGTGAGATGGCTTAGTGGTCTAAAGCACCTACTTAGAACAAGTTTAGCAAAGCGCAGGGACCTCGGTTCAATCCCCCAGCACCACATGCCAGCCTGCCCTGCCCCCTGGTGGGCTGAGCTGGCCACACACACACACACACACACACACACACACAAATAAATAAAATAAAATTAAAAAGAATTGCTGAATTATTATTGAAAAAAAATTTTACATGTTTTGGGGCTGGGGAGATGGCTCAGTGGAATAAGCACTTGCCTGACAAGCGCAAGGACCTGAGTTCAATCCCCAGTTCTGCCAAAAAAAAATAAAAAATAAAAATAAATTCACATGTTTTAAGCTAATATGAGGAAAAGTGATATGAATTCCTTACTCTGGTAATTTAAAGAATACTTTTAAAAATTTGTTATCTTTTCATAAACACATTTATAAATCATTTTATAAAAATTTTTTTACATTGATATTTATCTTAAAAGAAAATGTTTAATTCTTTTTTTGTAGCTGGCTCAACCTGCCCTAGGGATAGGGCTGGCATGGCATGTGGTGCCGCGGAGAACCATGGTTGGTCCCTGTGCTTGCCTAAGCTTGCCAAGCAGGTACTTTAGACCACTGAGTTATCTTACCACCCCTCAATTCTTTCCTAGTTAAGATTTTAGTTATCTGTAGATATTTTATATAATTACATGAAACTTTCAAAGAAACATATTTTCTTCTTTCTC